GAGGACGAGGAGCAGGAGAAGAATATAGCAGAGGAGGAGGACGAGGAGGAGAGAGATCTGGCGGAGGAGGAGGACGATGAAGAAGGAGAAGCAGAGGAGCAGTAGGAAGGAGAACAGATGGCCGGGAAAAGGAGGAGGATGAGAGAAATATGGCAGAGGAGGCGAAGGAGGAGGAAGAAGAAGGACAAGGAGAGGAGGGGGACGAAGGATAATAGGTGGAAGGAGAGAGAGATGGCGGAGAAGGAGAAGGAGGAGGAGGAGGAGAGATATGGTGGAGGAAGAGGAGGAGGAATAGGAGGATAAGGAGGAGGAGGCTGAGGAGAGACAGGAGGAGGGTCGGGTTTGGGGGAGTATCAAGAGAGAGTCTCGACCCTCCCCGACCCCGACCCTGACCATTTCAGTCAATCAATCAATCGATCAATCAACTAGCGATTGATTGATTGATTGATTGAAAAACAAAAAAAAAGGAAATGGAGAGAAAGAAAGAGAGAGAGAGAGAGGATAGTAGGGTATGCGTCGGGGAGGATCAGGGTCAGGGGAGCATCGAGAGGGGGGCCTGCGACGCTCCCCGATCCCGACTCTCTCTCTCTCTCTCTCTCTCTCTCTCTCTCTCTCTCTCTCTCTCTCTCTCTCTCTCTCTCTCCGTACCCCTCCGCTTCCCTACCCGTATGCCGCCATTCTCTCCATCTGCTCCACGTTTCTACCCTCCCCTCCCTACTCTAGCCCGACCCCGGCCCCGGCACTGACCCCCCCCTCTCTCTTTCCCGACCCCGGCCCCGGCACTAACCCCCCCGCTCTCTCTTTCCCGACTTCGACCTCGAACCCCAAACCCAGCGCTCCCTCTCTCTCTCTCCACTCGGATCCCGACACCATTACTCTGCCTCTCTCTCTAACCCTCTCTCCCCATTCCCCTACCCCTCCACTCCCCTACCCCTCCGCTGCCATCCTCCCTTAGGCTATCCCCTCCGCGTTTTTTCCCCTCCCCCTCCTCTGCCTTTAACATCTCCCCCTTCTCTTCGTGCCCCCCATCCCACTCGTCCTTCCCCCAACAGGCAAGCACAAAACTTGTCGGTCGGGCCTTCCCCCCCTTCCCCCTCCCATGAAGACTTTTTCAATTAAAAAAAAAAAACAAAAGAAACACCCACCCTCCCCTTCTCAAACCTTCTCGACCCTCTTCCTTCTTGTTCTTCGTCGTCGTCGTCTTCCCACACCGTCATCCTCCCTCCCCCTCCTCTCCATCCTCCCCTCTCATGCCTTCTTCGATATACCCGCACCCAACCCTCCTAGCCATCCCCCGCCCTGCCACTCCCTCACCCGACTTTTTTAATATGGAATTGGGGGGCGTGGCATTTTTTCTTTTTTTTCTTTTCATCATCTATAATCAATCAATCAATTGATTGATTTATTGGTTGATTGATTGGTTGATTGATTGATTGATCTTTAAAAATTAAAAATAATAATAAAGAAAATCGTGGAGAATGCGAGAAAGATGAGGAGGATGGGAAGGATGAGCTGGGATGACGAGGGCCATAAAAAGAATATGAAGGTCTTGGAGAAGAAGAAGAACAACACAATGTAATTGGGGGTGGCGGGAGGGCGATGAGGAGGAGTCGGGTCAGAGGAGGTGGAAAAAGAAGAAGAAGAAGAAGAAGAAGAATAGTGAAAACAGTGGCCATAGACTGTTTCTCGTACAAGCATCGATATGTCATCATTACTTCTCCGCATGTATTGTTCTCAGCAAGAAAACACGCATCATCCCCGATGCGTTTCGCGCAGGCTGCGCTTCCGATCTTCCTCAGGGGGCTTCTCCCGAAGTCGCCTTGAGGCGCCACCTAAGTTTCCGACCAAGAATGGCAAGGGGGCGGGAGGAGGAGGAGGAGGAGGAGGAGGAGAGCGCAAGATGTATTGCGCATGAGGGAAGGAGGAAGAAGAGGAGAAGAAGGAGGAGGAGGAGGAAGGAGAACAAGTGAACAAGGAGGAGGAGGAGGAGGAGGAGAGAGATCTGGCGGAGGAGGAGGAGGAGAGAGATATGGCGGAAGAGGAGGAGGAGCAAAAAGATATGGCAGAGGAGGAGGAGGACGAGGAGGAGAGACATATGCCTGAGAAGGAGGAGGAGGACGACGGAGAAGCAGAGGAGGAAGTAGAACAGGTGGAAGAGGAGAAGGAGGAGGAGGAAAGAGATATGGCGGAGAAGGAGGAGGAGGAAGAAGAAGGAGAAGCAAAGGAGGAGGATGAAGGAGAATTGGTAGAAGAGGAGAAGGAAGAGGGGGAGAGAGATATAGTGGAAAAGGAGGAGGAGGAGGAGGAGGACGACGAGGAACAAGAGGAGGGTCAGGTTTGGGGGAGTATCGGGAGAGAGTTGACAGGAGGAGGAGGAAGAGGAAGAGGACGAGGTGGAGGAGGGGGAGGATGAGTAAAATGAAGACGAGGAAGAAAAGGAGGAGGAGGAATATGAGAAGGAACCTGGCCGCAAAAAAAAAGGGCACCACGTCGGACCTCTTCATACGAGGAGGAGGGGGAGAAAGAAGAGGAAGACGCGGAGGACGAGGACGAGGAATGAGAGGGAGGTAAGGGCACATCTCTCTCTCTCTCTCTCTCTCTCTCTCTCTCTCTCTCTCACACACACACACACACACACACACACACACACACACACACACACACACTTACCGTCGGGTGGTGATATGGCGATGGCTCCTCCACGTGGCGGCGGCGACAGCATGGCAGCTCCCGTCGACGGCAGCAACGACGACGGCAACAACGGTGACGGCAGCAACGGGCAATGGCGGCTCCAGGCAACGGCAGCGACGGGCGATGACGGGCGTCCGACGAATGCAGGGCCTCCCACACCCCCCCCGCCCAGGCAAAACCCCCCCCGACCTTCCCTCACACGAAAATCGATTTTGGGGCGCCTCAAACCGGTCGACAAGGCCCCGAAAAGCGGTGAAAACGAAAATTAAAAAACTTGTACGGGGCCTTGTCTGGACTTGTACGTACGTATAAGTCCGCGTACAAAAAAAATTGTACGGCCTGTACGGAAAGGCCCCGTACAGGTACGTTGTGCAACGCAGCCTTTTTCCATATGGACGTGGACATATTGGAGAATCAGATAGACGTATTTTTGTTTCAAAGTCTGAATTCATAAAATATTATTTTTTTTTAAGCCATCGGATATTTACTAAAGATTCCTACTTTATTTTAGTTATGTTTGATAAAGAAGTTATTCAACGTGGTTATAAAATGTCACACATCACATGCGAAACCAACCCACAAATACAACAACCCATAGCAAATATATCTCAAAAAGATTTAGAAATAGTTTTAGAAAATAAACAACGATAATTATGTGGTCATAAACCTGTTGTTGTCAATGACGCTGCATAAAACTTATAACATCATGTTGAATATGCTTCATCTTATGTTTGGGGCAGCAACGCAGAACAACGAATGCATCGTCAAAAAACTTTTGCAACATGGAATGGATTTGGTCAACCAACAATTTTTTAAACATTAACTCCTAATACAGAAATAGCTTTCACAATAACCTCATATACTGAATTAACGAAACTTAACAATTTTTTATTTTTCTTAAAACAAAAACAATATATACCTATATCATAAATAAAAAAAACAGGACTTCAAGATAATGTAGTTTCTGCACGATTGTTTGATAGATTGATAACAATATTTTTTAAGCACATCGCAGGAAATGATAATACAACACAACCATCAACCATACAATGTGGACTACTTGGATATATTAACGCTTATTACGGAATGATTGAAACACAAGGACGTGGTACATTACATTTTCATTGTCTCCTTTGGGTAAAAGATGCACCTGCAACTGTTGCTGAGTATGCAAAATATATAAAAGACGAAAATGCATTAACACAAATATTAAACTTTACAGACAATATACTTAATACAAATTTACCAATTGACTTAAATACTACACCTTGCCCTAAATGTAATAATGTAGCAAGTTTTGAAACAATTGATATGCCTCTATTTACATTTAACACACCTTTTCGAAAAAACTCAATCACATTATACTCCAATAGAACCAACTATAACAAAACGTAAATATTGTAAATAAGAAATAATTACCCAATACTTAGAATGATCATCATTGCTCCAAACATCAAAACAAAAAACTCATACTGTATATCAAGAGAAAAATTTACAAAAAGCTTATTATATTCACTCTGTAAATGATCTAATTTTTAAACATGAACCATATCCATTACTATTGAATATGCCTAATAGTTTAGAACAATTAAGTGGTGACGAAAGTGACTTAAAATATAATAAAATTGCATTAATTATTTTACCTCAAACATATCATTGAGCACATACTCCTTCATGTTTCAAAAAAACACGAACTACTAATAACCCAAAAAGTTATTGATATTTATACCCTCACACACATATAGAAAAAACAGTAATGAAAAACGATGGAATACAAATATATAGATAATTTTGTCATGAATACATAAATGGTTTTAATTAATATTATTTACATTCAAAGCAAATCATGACATACAAATTTTAATAGGAGGACATGAAAATGTCGAAAGAGTTTTTTATACAACTAGTTATACAACAAAAGATCAACATCAAGTCGATAGAAATACAACTTTTGCTCTTGCTGTATTCGATGCTCGAACACAACGAGAAAATGAACAAAAAAAAACGAGCAACTTACAAACGAAGCAAAAACAAGAAAACGAATTTCATCGCAAGAGTATACATTAACAAATAAACAAGAAATCGTTGCACCACTTTGTGCACTGTACATTTTACGACATAGTTGTGCATATCAAAGTCATTCATTTAAAAAATTACTTATTAAACAAATGTTAAAACAATTAACAAACGACACTGAAATCGTTTGTAAAATTGAAAAACAACAAAATACATATTTGATGAATTGTCCACTAGATGATTATATCTACATACTATTAATATTATCGCATCTTTGCTTGTACGAATTCTCAATGCTACATTTCTGTGCAGACCGAACAACAACTACACCAAAATAACGCCTATTTTTCAAAGAACACTCACAATATAAAAAAAAATGTACAGGATAATATAAAATATCCATATATACCAATAATACTACATAATACTATAATATATGATTTTCAAAAATGTGAATCTGAAGATGCAAAAAAACAAACACGCTCAAGCAACTTTACTCATTTTTAAGTCGTTTAGAAAAATAGAACATTCGATCAAATCCAATCAAACTTGGTTTTCATAATTTAAAAATTTTAAAACACAAATGTCATCTTTTATCTTACAAATATACAATAACATGCAAAATTTTTATATTCCTAGAACAAAAGCTTAAGAAGCACGAATTGAAAGAATGTTACAAAAAACAAAATTTGAAAACTATGAAAATAGTGACAGTGATAATAACTCAAATGATATTGATTCAGAAATACCAATTAATTTTTCAACTGAAAACAATGAACATGATTTGATTCATAATATCAACAGCGAAGATTTTTTCAAGATTTTGAAACAATATATACGACAAATTATTTAAACAGTCCGTTGATATGTCAAACAACAAAAACAATTATATCAGATAACGAATTAAATGAAGCATTACAAACAACAAATATTGTGCACCATACAGCAACATTGACAACACATAAATATAAAAATATTATAAATTTCACTGAAAATCTAGGCTACCAGTCGGGCCGCCCGGATCCCGGCTGGCCAGCCCGTGCAAGGACAAAGGAAGGTCCCGACAAAAAAAAAAAAAAAAAAAAAAAACGAAAAAATCCAAAAAAAAACTATGTTATGCAGAAAAATCAACTGAAAAACTTTTGTCTCAGGATCACATCGAAATTCTTTACCAAATGTAAAATAAAAAAATAAATTAAATAATAATTTATTATTTTTATTTTTTATGGTCCGGTCGGGCAAGTGACCCCGGACCACTATGGTAGCCTAGCTGAAAATCAAATTAAAATTTAAAAAACAACTAAAATAAATTACACATTAAAAAAAAATGGTTTAAATCGGATCCTCAAATAAATATTGATAAAAATAAAATTTTAAATACTGAATATGAAAAACTTATAAAGCAAACAAAAGTACCCCTTCTTGCAAATGCTCTAGATCCCGAAAATATAAAATATAAAAAAACAAACAGAAATAAAAAACAAACAAATAACGACATAAACGATTATCCATCTATTTATGACATATCACAAAAATTAAAACTCATCAAACAAAAACATATAGCATTTGCATTAATCACAAAATTATTTTTATTAACTAGGCAGTTACAAACAATTGACTCAGAAACACATGAAAAAATATCATAAACCACATAAAAAAAAATAAAAAAATAAAAAATTACTAATTTATCTTACAGGAGAAGATGAAACAGGAAAATCATACGTTGTAAATACAAGAGAAATATTTTGTAAATATTGGAAAAAATAAAAAGCAATTGCAAAAACAACTCTCACCGGAAATGCAGCAGTTTCAATCAAAGGACAAACTTTACATAGTTGGATAGGCATGCACAATCTTGATAAATCAAACAAATCCACAAGCAGTTTCATGATTCAACACAGAACTAACATTATAGATGAAGTCAGTATGCTAGGCAAATAAATGTTCGTGCAAATAGATTACTCACTAAGAAAAATTCGACAAATTGATTTGTTATTTTGTGATTTATATATGGTTTGTTTAGGAGAATGTTTTCAAATGCCAGCTATCTTAGGAATCCCACTATATAAGAAACAATCTTTTGAATTAGCAGTGAAACCTTATGATATTGCAGCATATGAGGTATGGTTATTATTTAAAATAATAGTTATATTTAATAAAAATATTCGATTTGAAACAGACCCTTAATGGGGAAAAGGATGTAATAATGCTGGTTAAAGATTGTGGACAAAAAAAATTATAAATATTATTAATATTATCAATACACGACTGCGTTTGACTTTTTCAAACAAAGATTGGATTACATAAATTTGGCTAAAAGAACAAGAAATCATAAATAATATTTTGCAAGGCAAATATGTATATAACAATGAAATAATAAAAACAACTCCGACGTATGTTACTCCATATAATGAAACACGTACTGCACTCATTCGAACATACACCTTACGCGTAAGTCAAAACCTTTCAAAAGACTATCAGTCAATCTGAATACTAGCAAATTTAGCAAAAATACTTCAAAACAAAACCAACGACGGTATAAACTAAATAATGTCACTTCCAAATAAAAAATTTCATCGATATTCACTATATATTGATTTAATACCAGGTATGTCGATAATATTCACACAAAATATTGATTCAAAAAGACGTATAGCAAATGAAACATTTGCTTATTTACACTGAATACAATTCAACGAATCAACAAAATTTACTCATCTTAACGATATTGGAATATTATAGTAAAAATACCAAACCAACAACCGAAAATAACATTTGTTCAACTTATTTCTG